TACAGATGAATATGAAACAGACATCAATAATTACAGCTTGTACCGCAGATGTTGGTTTCTAAACCTTTCAGTTCAATGAACAAGTAATAACTGGACAGACACACCTTTCAGAAATTAGAAGTGGGAAAAGATTACCTCATTCCATACCTGTCACATAGCTGGCCCCCTGCAGCAATTCAGCAAGAGGCAGCCCATGGGCCCTGGAGGAGATGTGGGCTGGGCCTTCTAGAATGACACCAGTAAGGACACAGGAGGAACCCCAGGCAGGAGCACCCAGGAGCCAAGGCTTCTCTTGGACACTACCCTCCGTTCCCATCTCAGTCCCTTTTCCTTAAGAAACCTGGTCTGGATATAAGAGGCATGTACCGAAATTCAATTTTTTTCTAAATTTCCTCCTACTTGGAAAATTCTTATGTTTTACTTGAATCTAAAAAGGGAGTTGCTAATATTAATAAAAAGATAATTATCCCTCAGCTAATTCTTGATTTTACAAGCATATCTAAAAGCCCAGCGTATTACATGGCATTTAATAGATAGTCCCATCAAAGGCCTGTAGTTGTGTTCCAGGGATCATGGTCACAAGGGCTAGCGTGGCACCACTGCTGTATCTGAAGAAATTTTAGCCAAATGAACACATATCTCCAGAATACTCACAGGAGAGTAGGAGGAGATGCTGTTGAAGAAACTGCACACTTCATTTTAACACGAGAGCACAACAGTTTGACTCCTTCCTAAGTTTCTTCATGGCATCTAGATCTTTTACACGCTGCCATGTTCTCGACTGGAGTTGAGAATCCCTTTCCCAGTATGTCTTCGTGCTGATTACAGCTACAACACTGAATGTGTGTGTGCGCGTGTGTTGTGTGTCTTTTAAGGTGAGTAGAGTGGAGGGAAGATAAAATAATAAAAACTAAAGAATGCAGCTCTACTCATTTTAACAAAATCTACAGAGCACCCCAACCTCAAAAATGGAAAAATGGATCTCATTGTCTCAGTATGCTACTAAGGTCAAGAATAAATAAATTGATAAAAGAATCTTTTGATAGTTCATTGACATTTACTCCATATAGATTCTACTTTCTAGCAGAAAGTCTCTAATTTAAATCTGAAACCTAGAAAGATGCTCTGATTATTTCATAATAAAAATTAATTCCTTGAAATGCATGCCCTGGGTTTATAACGACTTAGACTTTTGAAAGCATTTTCAGATCTATTACCATGTTAGAAAGCACTGTTGCCACAAACACCAATCTACATTTGGTCTTGGAAAAAGATTTTCGTGTACATATTTTGTCCAAATATTACTATTTGTTTCATGAAAGTCAAGGCTAAGACTTTACTAGAGTGTAAATTTTAAGCCAATGAATAAACAGTTGGCTTCAAAAAACATTAAACTGACATGCAAAGCATTTGTTGCTCTGCCAGATTCTAAAAATAAAAGCGACTTCTGCCAACATGGAAGAACTTGAATTATTTTGGTTGGTTCTGAATTTGACTACCAGGTTTCACTAAGTTAATTTTCCAAAATGGGGCCTGACGTTAATGTTATACTTGTTTCCTCAAACATTACCTCTTAAAACGAACTACTCACAATTGGCATCTTATTTAAATATTAACCTCATATATTTTTTATAGTTTAGCAGGACATACCTTTCTAAAAATGTGATATCTTTACGTGACAAATGAAAATTTGAACATTTGAAAATTAACCTTCATATTTAAAAAATTAAGTTCAAACGTGTCTTACCCAAGAATAAGCTAAGTTATTAAAATATTTAGATAACATTTTAGACAACAGGTATCAGGTGAGGATTTTAAGGTTGAGGTTTTAAAGGTGAGGTTTTAAGCTGTTAGTCAAGTTCAGGTAACATTTTATTCCTGTCCTTGGCCTGCTCCTCCCTTAGCTGTCTCTCTAAAAAACAATAAGCACGTTTAAAATATGGAGTTTTGAGATTTATGATCAGTTGCAAAAACCTGCTTAACTACTGATTTGCAGTTTTGGCCAAGGTATTTAAGTCTGTCATCAGAACTAATTACAGCAAACCTGAGATTATATATTCAAACTCTTCTTTTGGTGAAAGAATAGAATGTTCTGCTGAAAATCAGAAACATCCTGAGGGCTCCCAAGGAAGAATGCACTATCAACTTTAATTCTCAGAACCAGTGCTGCAAAGCTCAAAATTACTGTTCTTTAGTAAAGTGTTTTAGCCTGAAGTACTCAAACAGTAAACTGTAGTTACATTAATGCCATACCCATGGCCTGAAACATATTAATCTCAGTTAACAATACCTGACATTTACATTACTAATCTAATTCAGTCATTCTGGTGGTAGTAAATGCACATGTTAAAGCTTCGGGAACTGAAGTTATTACTGATCCAAAAAGAATCTTCATTCCACTGTGACCAGACGGAGAGGACAAATGACTACACTTTGGGGGCAACCTGGGTTTTCTAAGAATAATGTCCCCATTTTAATGCTTTAATGAGTAAAATGTCTAATTCAAATTAAAACAGATTAAAAGTAAAGTGTTCCCAAATGACATGCCAGCAGGGTTATTAACCCAAGAAAACCAGTCCCTTCCTCTCCCTCAAAACCTCTTCCCATCCCACCCCCTCCTCGGCTGCACTGTTTTAAAACCCCCTCCCACCCCCTCCTCGGCTGCACTGTTTCAAAACCCAGGCCCCGAAGAGTGAGGCCTTAGGCGTCATGGCTCCTCTTATCAAATGAATCCCCTGCTACCTGATTCCACCATAATGCCATCTACTCAGGGAAAAAGCTCCCAACCACGTGGGACCTCTGAGTGCGGGAAGTGGGCAACCGCTGGCCCCGGAGCAGGCGGAAGAAAGGTCAGGGGAACTCTGGGTTCAGAGGCTCCCAAATCAGACCCTAAGGGAGGCTACTCTGGCAAGGCCTCAGCACAAGCAGAGTGGGGATGTGCCTGCAGGGGTCACTCACTGCTCTAAGGAAGTGGATCCACGGGGAAAGGGGGCAGAGACTGCAGGGAGATGCCTGCGCTAGAGCCCTATGCATGAGAATACTCATACTACCTGCCTGCTCAAAGTGAACATTTTTCATGTTTCAGACAAAACCACTGGATTGTGTAGTGGATATTTCCCCCATGAAAGATTTTTTTAGAGGAAAATTTCCTGTACTCTAAGTCTGTATTCACCTATAAGGCGTTTGAAATAAGATGCTGTAGCTAAGCAGGGTATGATTATATCCACAGAACCCAACGGGGAATATTAAATCATAAAATGTTAGATTTTCCAATATTTAGTCTGACTATCTCTCCATTATGAATTCTATAAGAAGGTACACAATCTCCTAAAATCTTGCTTTCTCTATTATACTGGCGTTTGTCACCTAAGTGGAAGCAAGATACTATTTTTGTTCTCGTAAATAGCAATTAGTTGCTCACTTATTCCAGAACACAGAAAAAAAAAAATATGCCACCATAAATAAGTAAAATTTGATTACTGTTTGTAAGTCTAAAAATAACAAAATAGGGCTTCCCTGGTGGCGCAGTGGTTGAGAGTCCGCCTGCCGATGCAGGGGACACGGGTTCGTGCCCCGGTCCGGGAAGATCCCACGTGCGGGGAGCGGCTGGGCCCGTGAGCCATGGCCGCTGGGCCTGCGCGTCCGGAGCCTGTGCTCCGCAACGGGAGAGGCCACAACAGTGAGAGGCCCGCGTACAGCAAAGAAAATAAAAATAAAAATAACAAAATACTACTACTACTAATATCATCATGACTCATTTTCTATGTTCCTGAATTTATATTATCAACCTAGAGAAAGTTTGTATCGGACAGTGAGAAACCGCTGGCGAAGGCTGAAGAAGGGAAGAGACCTGATGGAAAAAAGCCACAATAAGGGCTTCCCTGGTGGCGCAGTGCTTGAGAGTCCGCCTGCCGATGCAGGAGATGCGGGTTCGTGCCCCACTTCGGGAGGATCCCACATGCCGCGGAGCGGCTGGGCCCGTGAGCCATGGCCGCTGAGCCTGCGCGTCCGGAGCCTGTGCTCCGCAAATGGGAGAGGCCACAACAGTGAGAGGCCCGCATAACGCAAGAAAAAAAAAAAAGCCACAATAAGCAGCTCTTCACCTCCACTGGGCACCAAGAGGAGGTGCCAAAATACCTAGGCCTACCCCCAAAATCACAACATCCAGCTGTGGTCTTGTCCATCAGCTTGTGACAATTTCTCAAAGCCCCTTCTAGTTCGGACTACGAAACACACTTTCAGTGAAAACCACTTCCCAGGGCACCAATCCTTGTTATAATCATTCATCCACTCAGTCTCTCCAGGAGTGATGGGGAAGAGGAGAAAAAATAATCAAACCATGTTTGTTCTTAGAAGGTTCAGAGTTACACTGTCTTGAGTTATAACTGTCTAATACTATTATACCAATTTCTCTTCTAAGAACTATCTCATAATTTAAAGAATGACATGGCTGAGAGAGAGATTTAGGAAGACACTTCCAGGCAGAGAACTTGAATTTAAATCATCCTCTAAATACTACATTCTGTCCTTTTTAAAAACTGTGATATTTAATCTGAAGGCACAAAAATTAATCAATTGCTTTTATTATGTGACTGTGAAATATCAACTCTACTGTCTCCAATAAAGAACCAATAATTACTTTTATAACATTAAGATAAAGTCATTTGTGAAGACAGTATCTTTCTTGCACTTATGACTAATCCATTATAAACAAATGCCAATCTTAAAAACACAGCTCCAGAATAAGTGCAGTTACACTGAGTACAGATAAGAAAGTACAAGGAGCTCATTGGCTATGCTACACCAAGTGGATGAAAAGTAAAATTGATTTTATACTGGAGGTCTATATAAATAAATAAATAAAATCCTATCTTTTTTTCCTGTATGTATGCTTAGATTTCTTGTACAAATAGCAGAATATGCTCCATTTCATTCACTTCAGCA